TACAAAACACTACTCAAAGAAATCAGAGAAGACACAAACAAATGGAAAGACATCCCATGCTTATGGATAGGAAGGATCAATATCATGAAAATGGCTGTACTGCCCAAAGCAATAGACAGTTTCAATGCTATTCCTATCAAACTACCAATGACAATATTCACAGAACAAGAAAAAACTATTTTAAAATTCATATGGAACCAAAAAAGGGCCTGAATATCCAAGACAATGCTAAGCTAAAAGAACAAAGCTGGAGACATCATGCTACCCAACTTCAAACTATACTGCAAGGCTACAGTAACCAAAACAGCATGGCACTGGTAAAGAAACAGGCACATAGACTAATGGAACAGACTAGAGAGCCTAGAAATAAGGCCACACATCTAAGACCATCTGATCTTTGACAAAGCTGACAAAAAACAAGAAATGGGAAAAAGACTCCCTATTAAATAAATGGTGCTGGGATAACTGACTAGCCGTATGCAGAAGATTGAAGATGGAACTCTTCCTTATACCATATACAAAAATCTACTCAAGGTGGTTTAAAAGACTTTAATGTAAAACCCCAAACTATAAAAACTCTGGAAGACAACCTAGGCAATACCATCCTAAACCTAGGAATGGGCTTAGATTTCAGGACAAAGAAACCAAAAGCAATCACAACAAAAGCAAAAATTGACAAATGGGACCTAATTAAACTTAAGAGCTTCTGCAGAGCAAAAGAAACTATCAACAGAGTAAACAGACTGTAGATCGGTCAGGGTCATGGGAAAAATTGTAGAAAGATACAAACCTTCTTGGAAGGCCAGGAGGTTTTACAGAAGCTTCAGAAAAGCATTTGGCTGAAGGCAGCCAAACCCTCTTATCCGGAGCCTGAGAGCGAAGGTTACATAACAAGTGGATATAAAGGAATTGATCTAGATAAGTTAGTTTACTTAGGCCTTGGAACCTGGTCTTTAATCATCCGTGTGCAGGACTGCTCTAGCAGGGGATGGCGACCATATCAATTACCCATAAGTGTGTTGACTCAAAGCCTTTGTCATTAAATCTATACTAAATAAATGCCTGCAGCACCAGCTTGTCAGGGCCGCAGCTGCTACAACTCTTTCTGTCAGTGGTCTGGTCCCCTAGCCCACTCTTTCACTGGATACCTGTGTCTGAGTGCATTCTTTCATCTGTCATTCTGCCAGGGTCTGCAGGTCAGACCTGGCAGGTGGTGCTCCACATGAGGAATGCTGCAATGGATCGTGACAGAACCCTCAAAAATGAAGGTGAAAAGACTGCACAGTCAGTAAGTCATTGGTGCCCACTTGGGATTTCCAAGTTTGAGGGAACCGTTCAGGCTAGAGTTTCATCATAAGACAACAGTTATCAGTTCAACAGCAACAGTATATAAAAGTATTGAAACAGCTGCTTAAAGCTAGCAGAACCTCAGTTTTGCAGGCTCAGTTAAGAGACCTAGCATACACTATTGTTTCCCATAACCCATGGTTCCTGAAAGAAGGTACTCTAGACGTAGAGCTCTGGGAACAAGTGGATAGAAATCTTAAACAACATGATGCACAAAAGCAATGGGTCTCAATAACATCTTTAATGTTATAGGCTTTGGTTACGGTGGCTCTGGTCCTGCTCTACACGGAAGAGCCTAAAAAGGCAAGAGAGGAGGAACTGTCATCCACCTTACTGCCTCCATCTCCCTCAGCCCCGCTGTTTCCGGGAAAAAATAACAAAGAGGAAACGGAGGTTTTTCCTGAGCCCCCTCCTCCAATAAATTGGAAAAAAGACAAGGGATATGCTATAGCTATGGGACCTTGTCTTAGGCAAGAAGCATTAGATGGGCAGCTCTTATCCTGGCTGGTAATGCAAGATTGACAAGGCAATCAGGTACATGAACCCATTTCTTTTAATGCTTATAAAGAACTAAGAAAAATCTTTAAAGAAAATGGAGCCACTAGCGCATTTACAAGAGGGTTAACTGAGGTCACTCTGCAGACCTCTTTCAAATAATGGCCACTGTTATTTCTCCCTTACCCCTAACGTGGCTCTCTCAAAATCCTATTTGGGTAGAACAGTTGCCTTTAAAGAGAGAGAAATTACAAAGAGCCCATGAATTAGCTGAGGAACAATTAAAAGCCATATAGAACCATCAAACAGTCTGGAATTTGCCCATTTTCATAATTCCCCAAAAGTCTGGTAAATGGAGACTTTCGCATGACTTATGTGCTATTAATGTTAAGTTGCAACCTATGGGACCCCTTCAGCAGGTCCCCACTGCCCCCGCACGTGGCAATTCCTTGAGAATGGCCTACAATCATTATTGACTTAAAAGACTGCTCTTATACTATTCCCCTTGCAGAACAGGATGGATAAAAATTTGCATTTACAGTAACAGCTCTTAATAGTGAAAGGCCAGCTCACTGATTTCATTGGGAAGTGCTTTCTCAGGGAATGTTTAACAGTCCTACCATGTGTCAATATCATGTAAATCAAGCTTTGTTCCCCAGTAGAAAATAATTTCCTAATTGCAAGATTATTCATTTTATGGATGATATTTTACTAGCAGCCCCAACAGAGCCAGTATTTTTAAAGTTACATGCCTCTGTCATAAAGAATACAAAGTTAAGAGGTTTAATCATAGAACCTGAAAAAGTACAGATGTCTTCTCCTTGGAAATATCAAAATATCTTGGGTACATTCTAACTTCCCAGTCAGTAAGACCTCAAAAGGTTAAATTAAATACTAGCAACTTACATACCTTAAATGATTATCAGAAATTACTAGGCAATATTAACTGGCTTTGCCCCACCTTGGGCATAACTACTGATAAGTTACAGAACCTGTTTTCTATCTTAAAAGGCAATGCTGCCCTAGACTCTCCCAGGTATTTAACTCCTGCAACAGAAAGGGAAATTGAAGAGATAGAGCAAGCTATTTCTCAGAGACAACTAGATTGCATTGATCCATGGTATTCAGTTCAATTATTTGTTTTTCCCACTAAACACTCCCCTACAGATGACCCCAGGGCTATGCTTCCTAGAATGGGTTTTTTGCTCACATACCAGGACTAAAACACTCTCTCCCTATATCCAGTTATTCAGTGAAGTCATCTATTCAGGCTGCAGATGATGCAATCAGTTGCTAGGTTATGACCCTGATATCATCAGGATTCCTTTAAGTAAAAAGCAATTCAAGGCAGTATTGCCTTATCTATGGACCTGCAAATAGCACTCTCTGATTACAAAGGCCATATAGAGCATGCCCTTCCTGCTGACAAACTCCTTTAGTTCTTATCTTGTACTTCTGTGGTTTTGCCTACTAAAATAGTTCAATCCCCCATACCTAATGCTTTAACACTGTTTACTGATGGCTCTGGTAAACACGGAAAAAAAAGCTGTCTGGTGGAGACCACATAATTCCCTCACTTGTTCTGGATTTACTAGCACTCAGAGAGCTGAGGTTGGAGCCTTACTATTGGCCTTGGAAACTTTTTCCGTTCAGCTCATCAATATTGTTAGTGAGTCTGCTTACTCTGTTTATTGCAGAAACTTGAGACAGCCCTCATTAAGTCCACTTTGGAGCCCAGCCTGTATGCACTTTTTCTCCGACTTCAGCATTTGCTAGATCAATATACACATCCTATTTTTATCACACATATTTGAGCCCACAGCTCGCTGCCTGGCCCACTGGCTTATGGCAATGATTAAGCAGACCTACAAGTTAGAACATCACTGCTTGACCACGCCACCCAATTGCATCAATTTTTTCACCAAAACTGGAGAAACTTATTGAAGCAATTTCAACTTACCCAGAGACTAGCTAAACAAATTACCCAGCAATGCCCAGATTGCCAGCTCACAGGTATGTCCCTCCTTCTACAGGTGTTAACCCTAGAGGACTAGAACCTCATCAGTTATGGCAAACAGATGTGTTACACATGTGCCTGAATTTGAAAAACTAAGATATGTACATGTATCCATTAAAAACTATTCTCAATTAGCGCTCATGCCTTTCCTGGAGAGTTCACCCGATATGTCATTAAACACCTTCTTTTAACTTTTGCATTTATGGGGCAGCCTACAAAAATTAAAACTGATAATGGTCTGGCTTATGCCAGCTCACAATTTCAACAATTTTGTCACAGTGGACTATCCAATATTCCACAGGCATCCCATATAACCCCCAAGGAGAGGCCATAGTAGAACGTACCCCCTCTGCCCTTAAAAATATGCTCAGAAAACAAAAAAGGGGGAATATGAGTAAGGACCCTGCAACACTATTAGCACAAGCCTTATTTACCCTTAATTTAAAAAATTTAGATGATAAATTTCAATCAGCTGTAGAAAAGCACTTGCTAAAACCTCTCAAGACATAAAATCTGCAGTTTTATGGAAAGATATAAACAGTAATGTATGGTGTGGTCCAAATGAATTGTTAACATGGGGGAGAGGATATGTTTGTCTTCACACCCCCTCAGGTCCTCTTTGGATTCCAGCATGACATATGAAACCTTACCATAGCATGGCTAGGACACAACCCAGTACCAGAAATAAAGAAAATGACCCTACAGGACCTACAGCCCCAGACAATGTGGCTTCCTCGGACAACACAGGCCCTGGACAGGACTCTTAAGAAGAGAAATTAAAAGACTGAGCAAATCTGCTCTGGACACAGACACCATTCACTCCAGATAATTTGTTCCTTCCTATGCTTTATTAACTTTTTTAACTCTTTCACTTTACCTGCAACCCCCACCTGCTACTCTCTATTGGGCTCATCTCTTAGATACACGTTTCTTTAGCCCTATTACTTAAACAAACACCCCCTTCTCAGCTTCTAACAACACAACTGCTTAGCTAAGAGAGATTGACATGTCCCAAATGGGGTTCCTCAATAATAGCACACATTGGACTAAGGTGCCAAGTAATATTACATGTCACTCCTTAATTGGAAAAGAATGTTGCTAATTATGCTCATATTTGCCTTCTATTATTTACTAATTCTAGGATGCAAAGTTGGAATGCGAGCAGTGCCCGCCATGCCTGACGAAGTTGTTACTACACACATCTGTATTCTTCAATCAACAAAACCTGATGCTAAAAACAGAAAAGGGGGAGATGTAGGAGATAGGGTGGTGGGAAAAATTGTAGAAAGATGCAAACCTCCTCGGAAGGCAGGGAGCTTTTACAAAAGTTTCGGAAATGGATTCGGCTGAAGGTAGCCAAACCCTCTTATCCAGAGCCTGAGAGCAAAGATTAGATAACAAAGAGATATAAATGAATTAATCTAGATAAGTTAGTTTACTTAGGCCTTGGAACCTGGCCTTTAATCATCCACACACATGACTGCTATCTCTGGGCAGAGCAACCATGTTAATTATGCAAAAGTGTGTTGACTCAAAGCCTTTGTTATTAAATCTGTACTAAATAAATGCCTACAGCACCAACTTGTCAGGGCCACAGCTGCTGACTCTTTATAGCACCCTCCTCGGGGTCTGTAAGTGGCCAGGTCCCCTAGCCCTCTTTTTCACTGGACACCCATGTCTGAGTGCATTCTTACATCAGTCATTTGGCCAGGGTCTGCAGGTTGGACCTGGCAACAGACAACCTACAGAATGGGAGAATTATCTTTAAGATTAAAATAGGATATTATAATGCTATTTTGTATGGTTTTATGGGAGAATGGCTATGAATAAAGACTCAAACAAAAGAAATACAAATTAAAAAGTTAAAAACATTAAACAGATTCTAAACTCTTGAAGTATAAGGTCAGAAGAACTTCTAGACTATGGGTTCTTGACCAGTTAAATAGAATTTAATGCCTCTTTTGGGAGTCCAATCATCCACTCTGTAAAGAATTTCCAGTATTGCTGAAACCCTAACAACCAGGGAGATCAACATTTACACTATCTCCAAACTCAGAAAAATAGAAAGTAGCAACTTTTCACAAAATGATGAGAATATATCTTTGAAATTGTGGGCTCTCAAATTGTACTGTCAGAAACCAAAGATTTTATGAATTAATAAAGTCTGTAAATTATAATTCGAATCTCATTTCAAAAATTGGAATTGAAAATATGAACATGAAAACTTATTGCTGATTGAGTAGCCTTAATCCACAACTATAAAATCTGAAATGCTCCAAAATCAAACTTTTTGAGTAACAACATCAGGCTCAAAGGAAATGCTCATTAGAGCCTTTTGGATTAGATATTCTGAACTGGTAAGTATATATATAATGGAAATAGTCCAAAATCCTAAAAAATATGAAACCTGAAATACTGTCACAAACATTTTGGACACAGGATACTCAACCTGTATATGCCAATTTTAGCATATAAGAAACCATTAACCTGCTAACCCTCCTTTATAGCATTTATAGTTAGTAAATGCTATAAATTTGAACTTATGAAGCAAATTAGTTATAATAAAATTCATTTATATTTTATATATTGAGTTTCTAAGAAAGATTTTAAGACTTGCTCTGTTTTTAAACAAAGTGAAAATCATTTATCTAGATTCTAGAAAATACACAATCAAAGAATCTGAAGAGAATGAAAATAAAAGAAGAGGAGACTGAGCTGTTACTTTTTGTAACTGTTCATACTCCAATGCCAATGAAACCCACTGGATGTTACAGTATGTTCAATAGTAAAATCTTTGCAAATAACACTTTGCAGTTAGTAAAAATACATGTTCTATATAAGCCAGTGTTTTGAAAATTATAATGAACACAAGGTCAATGTTGAGATGTAGCAAACTTTTTCTCTAGGCTATGAGGTAGAACAGGTGTATACTTAGTCTTCATCTTTGCCACAATTCCTATCTATAGCATGAAGGATTCAAATGCCTTCAAGAATAGCAATATACACTAGAGAAACACAAAAAGCAAGAAAATATTCTAATATTCTGGTGGTGTTTGGAAAATATCATAAGGTCTCTGGCATGTAATGTTATCTTATAAAACCTTATGCAAGACCATTCTGACATCCAGTTTGAGAGTAATTTACTTGAATTCAGAAGAATCCCAGAATTTTTTTTTTTAACCATGCACCATTTAAATGAAAGGATGCAATATAAATAAGCAGTACCACCCTTTAAAACAGCATATGCAAAGGATACTCTTCACTATTCCGGATGTCAACCACCAGGAGCTTTGGTTTACTGGACTTTGTTTTCTTGGTGGGTGTTTTGAAGTGGCCTGTCATTGTGAGCTCACACAAGTCAATCAGGTCCTCTGCTGAAATCCGTGGTGATACTTCTGACTTTAGGTCATTTAATGGGATGGATTCTCTTGACTGAAAAAAAAATGTACAAACAAAAAAATATTGAGAATATCATAGAAAAACAGATTATCCCCAGTAATAGAATATCTTGATACCAAAGAATACAGCATATAAGAGAAGAGGAAACTATCTAATTTTCAGTCTATTGTATAATTCAGTGGTCTCCAGCCCCCAGGCCATGGACTGGTACTGGTCTATGGCCTGTTAGAGACTGGGCTACACAGCAGGAAGTGAGCGGCAAGCGAGTCAGCAAAGTTGCATCTGTATTTACAGTTGCTCCCCATTGCTCCATTACTGTCTGAGCTCTGCCTCCTGTCAGATCAGTGGTAGAATTAGATTTTCATAGGAGTACAAATGCTGTTGTGAACTGCATATGTGAGGGGTCTAGGTTGCATGCTCTTTATGAGAGTCTAATGCTTGATGATCTGTCACTGTCTCCCATCACCTCCAGATAGGACCATCTAGTTGCAGGAAAACAAGCTCAGGGCTCCCACTGATTCTATCTTATGGTAAGTTGTGTAATTATTTCATTTTATATTACAATGTAATAATAATATAAATAAAGTGCATGATAAATGTAATGTGCTTGATTCATCCTGAAACCATCCCCCCAACCCCAAACCCAGTCCATGGAAACACTGTCTTCTAGGAAAACAGTCCCTGGTGCCAAAATGGCTGGGGACCGCTAGCGTAACTGATTCTTTACTATTGAGGTTTACTTCTTTATTATTTACACCTATAGGAAAGCATTATTGTTTTGATTGACTGCAAGCTCCTGACTCAAACATATAGAAAGAGATGAGGCAAAGTTTTCTTTATAAGAGTGCTGTGTCTTTAGAAAAAACAGCTCTTTTAAGTACATTTCACTTTTCTTTAAATATAAATTATTGTTGTTTTGAAATGCATTAATTTTAACTCAGGTAATATGAGAAATTGCACTGTAATTAGGCATATATAGTAATTAAAGAAACTGGTTCTAATATATGTATTGGACTTTTATAATATAATTTATATTATATATAAATGGTTGAGTGGAAACTTGATTCTCAGAGATGAATAAAGAGCATCCTAATGATTTCTTAAATAGTAAACCAAACTAACAATGTATCTTAACTGTGAAGGAGATAAACTCAAGACTCCAGGCTATCAAACCCATCCACTGGTTTGTGTCTATGATATGGCATAAAAATGATTCAGACTAAGGGCTGTTTACAATTATTCTCTATGTTTCTTAGCAGAAAGAAGGATGAGCCTTTCCCCATAATAGGCAATGCAATACAACACAACTAAATTCAACACAAATTTATTGAGCACTAGTGATCTCCTGAAATCTTACGTGACATGACTTGAGAATTTAAACACTTCAAAAATTCAAGTGATTAAAATATAAGGATTCAAAAAAGTTTTCATTTATATGTTTCATAAGTTATCAAAATAGTCTAATAATTATCTCATTTACTCATTTTCTCAGTTGCATTGTGGAATTCTACACTTAGAATGTCCATTTTAGAATTTCTAGGTAAGAAAAAATAAACCATACAAATCATTTACCAGACATATTTATTTTTAAAAAATGGTTTTCAATTGGAGTTTGATGTCAGCTCTCACCCCGTGGGTCTCCTCAGTTGTACTCTGAATTATTCAGTGGTAAAGTGCTTGTTCTCTCATTTCATTAACTTTCAAATAGAAATGGAAATTGCTAAGCTTTATGGGGTTATGGCTTTCAATAAAAAATAGGCATTAAGCATCTTAATTTTTTAATATTAAGAATTAAAGCTACTTAAACATCCTGAAATTAAAAGTGCTTCAGAAAGATTAAAGAGTTTTGAAATCAGCAAGCCATACAATCAATGTTTCCATGTCCTTTTTCATTAGATTGCAATCTCTACAGGTATTTTTTCCAGCCTTCACATGAAGTCATACATTTATGAAGATAAAATAAAGAACTTTTTGATTAATCTAGTTCCACTTTTAGTCATTTTGTGATGAATGTGGCATTTCAAACTGAAGTTTCATCTGAGTGAAAAGAGTGCCCTGACTAATGAAGAAGAGGATTTGTCCAAAGTATTTTCTATGAAGAACTGACTGATTTAAATAAAGATTTGACCTCGGCATTGGTTCCAATCAAATGCATCATATGGGAGGAGTTTTTCAAAGGAAACAGTATTGCTATATGAAATGGTAAGAAGAGAAGGAGAGGAACTGCTGACAAATTTAAATGTTCTAAACTTCCATGAATGTGTATGTGTAAAGAACTTTAATGTATACAAGTTCTTCTGCAAATTAATTTTAGGAGATTAGTAAATTAAATTTAGAACAAATTATACTACTTTGCTTTATGAAGAAAATAATTACAATATGAAAAACACAGAATTTAGTTTTTCATAGTTTTATAAGCAAATTTACTATTCATTTAAAATTTCCACTTAGAGGCATAAAAGTAAAACTGCACAACTTTTGTCTTATTTAGTATTATAGATATTGTGTGTCTATATCACATTTTCCTTGTGTGAATGGGGGTTTCAAATTCATGAGACTTTGTTTATGGGTAATGGACAAGATTTAGGATAATTATAAAACAACACTGGAAATGTCCATCAATTTATCATTTCTGCCCAAAAGCCTTTAGATACACTGCATGTTATGCTTAGATGTCCACCCAGAAATAAATCCATGTATTTACAGCCAACTGATTCTTGACAAAGCTGCCAAGAACTTTCAGTAGGGGAAGGGACAGTCTTTTCAATAAATGGTACTAGAAAAACTGAATATCTATATGCTGAAAAATGAAACTAGACCCCTCTTACTACATGCAAAAATCAGATAAAGATGAATTAAAGACTTAAATATAAGACCTGAAACTATAAAGCTACTAGAAGAAAACATTGTGGAAATGCTTCAGGACATTGGTCTGGGAAATGATTGTTTGGATAAGACCTCAAAAGCACAGGCAACAGAAGCAAAACTAGACATAGAATTACATCATTCTAAAAAGCTTCTTCACAGCAAAGAAAACATCTCAGTAAAGAGACAACTTACAGAATGGGAGAAAGTATGTGCAAACTCTCCACCAGACAAGGGATTAATAACCAGAATATATAAGGAACTCAATAGCAATAATAAAATAATCTGATTTACGAGTGGGCAAATGATCTGAATAAACATTTCTCAAGAAAAAATATGCAAATGGCCAAAAGGTACATGGAAAAAAAAAAGGTCAACACCACTAATCAACAGAGAAATGTAAATCAAAACCACAATGTGGTATCATCTCTCCTGGGTTAAAATTGCTGTTATCAAAAAGGCAAAAAACATGGATGTTAGCAAGGATGTGGAGAAAGGAGAATGCTGGTACTATGTTGGTGGGAATGTAAATTAGTATAGCCACTTTGGAAAACAGTATGGAGATTCCTCAAAAAACTAAAAACAGTTGCACCATATGATCCAGCCAGCAATCCCACTGCTAGGCATATACCCAAAAGAAAGGAAATGAGGATATCAAAGAAATATGCACTCCCATGTTCATTACAGCACTATTCACAATAGCCAAGATACAGAACCTAAATGTCTATCAATGGATGAATAAAGAAAATGTATATTTATTAATATACACAATGAATTACTATTCAGCCATTAAAAAAGAATGAAATCCAGCCGGGTGCAGTGGTTCATGCTTGTAATCCCATTATTTTATTGTGCCACTGCACTTTAGCCTGGGTGACAGATCGAAACTCCATCTCAAAAAAATAAAAATAAAAATAAATAAAAGAATGAAATCCTATCATTTGCAGCAAAATGGATGGCATTGGAGGTCATCATGTTAAGTGAAAAAAGCCAGGCACAGAAAGGCAAATATTCCATGTTCTCAATCGTACATGGAAACTAAGTAAGTCGATCTGATGGAAGTAGAGAGCAGAACAGTAGTTGCTGGGAAAGGTGGACAAGGTGGGTTCGGGACATAGTGGGAGAGTGGTGGGGTGGAGGTGGTGGTGGTGTGGGAGATGGGGATGAAGACAGACTGGTTAATGAATATGGAAATACAGTTAGACAGAAGGAATAAGTTCTAGTATTCAATAGCACAGTAGAGTGACTATAGTTAACAATAATTTATAGTGTATTTCAAAAGAACTAGATTTGAAATATTTCCAACACAAAGCAATGATAAAGACTTATGGAGTAAATCTATATAAAGTATTTAGAATGGTGTCTGACAAGATATGTGCTCTATAAATTTTTATCTTTTACCTCTTTTCTCACCCCTCACCATCTTGCCCCTTATGCTTTAGCATTAGCACAGTATTTGCCTTTTCATGCCACTGTGCCTTTGCATATGTTGTTCCTTCTGCTTAGAAAGCCACAACCTGTCCATCTAATAAATCCCTGCTTGCCTTTCAAATCTCAGTTCAAACACTACTTTCTCTGTGAAGAAAGCTTTTCTTTTTAACTCCTAAGTTTCTCTTCTATGTCTCACAGGTATCTGGTATACACCTTTATTATAATGAGATGGGTCATTTCCCACTAGACTAAAAGCTTCTCATGCATAAGAAAAATTATTTTTATACCTTGTTTTCCTCAGGACACAGTGTATTATCTGACACACAGAAAGTATTAAGCTATATATACTGATTATAAAGGAATAAAATAGTATTTCCAAATCATCTACTTTTCATGAGTAACTTTGTGCTATGAGGTATGTATATGTTACCAAAACAGTGTGGACATACCTCTATTACAGTAATTACTGTTTGTGAGATATTATCTATTTCTCCACTTGACTTACAATAAGTCTCCTTGAATGGAGGTTCCATGTGTTTTCATATTTGTATCTCCAGAAGTTAGCACAAGGTCTGGCACAAAAAAACTCAATGGATATTTGAAAAATGAATGAATGAGTGAATAAAGCATATGATTAAATGATTCTGCAGAGCAGAATCAATTCTTATGTCTGGATTATCCGACAAACTCTTCAGGGATGCCAAGTCATCACATGCTCTCTGGCATCTGAGCACCAT